CAGTTCAAACCCATGAGCTCCCCATACAAGGAAGATGGGACAGTCTACTTCTGTAAAGATTTATAGCCTCGAAAACCTAATAGGGTTTACTGTGAGTTACAATTGACTCGATGGCAGTGAGTTTAATTTTGAAATACCTTTGTGTGGAGCAAATATGTTATCATTACTCATCTAATGAAATTTTGTCAGTTACCATTAAACCAAATTTTGGTTTCTCTTAATCTCAGGAGAATATTTACTTTCTTACCCTCAAAGCATGGGAAACTAAACTTACTACTTAACTATGAAAAACACTCAGGCTTTGGCCTGCTTAGAGCCTCCAGCCATTTGGTTTTAGAGTTTAAAAGCTCTGAAGGAATTTTCTCCTTCAACTGGTATGACCTGAGTGGCTATGAGGTATTGCTTTTTTGCTGCTAACTTGCTAATTACCACAGGAGCATAGTGGGTAAGGCATTCATTGGCTGCTCACCAGAAGGTTGGTGGCTCAAACCCATCACCTGCTCTGCAGGAGGAAGATGAGACAATCTACTTGAGTCAAGATTTACAGTCTTGGAAACCCACTGGGGGTATGAGCCAGAAGGGACTCAGTGGCAGTGGGTTTGATTTTTGCTAACTACTCCTTTTTAAGGATTTTAACAACTCTCAGGTGATGCCTCCAATTGCTTTCCCATACCAATATATTATTTAAAGCATAATTCTTACATTTCAAAAACAGAAGTATGAGAAAAATGCTGTGTATTTTCTTACATCTTCAATAAGTCTGCATCTAATGCTGATAATATCTTACAGTTAGGAAAATTTACATAACAATAAAGTTTCTAACTCAATGGCTCCCTTCCCTTCCCACTGTTAAGTTAATCTAAATCACTTTTGCTTAGTCCTACAATTTCATACTTGTTCAGGCCAATTTCCTCCTTAAAGGGCATAGCACTTTCTTTTTAAATCATTTGAAAACAACAGAAAAAAATTTTTTTTGAATAAAAATAAGGCAGATTCTTCTTCAAGAAGTAAGTCATATTAAAGGAAATTACTAAAGTTTGAGTAAACATTAGCAAATAATTAGATGATGTTTATGTAAATGTTTGGGAGCTCTGGTGGTATAGTGCCTAAGGCATTTGACTGCTAACCAGAAGGCTGGTGGTTCAAACTCACCAGCCACTCCTCAGAGGGAAGGTTGGGCAATCTACTTAGTCTTGATTGTTGTTGTTGTTATTTGCCATTGAGTCGGCCCCGACTCATAGTGACCCTTCCTTGGATTTCCGAGGCAGTATCACTACGGAAGTAGGAATGCCCAACCTTCCTTCCGAGGAGTGGCTGGTGGGTTTGAACCGCCAGCCTTCTGGTTAGCAGTCAAGTGCCTTAGGCACTATGCTACCAGAGCTCAGTCATGATACCACCTCGGAAACCCAAGGAGGGGTCGCTATGAGTTGGAATAGACCCGATGGCAATAAATTTGGTTTGGTTTGATGTGTAAATGTATATTCAAAAGATGAAAACCATTTCTCTTTGGTGATATTTCTCATTATAACCAATAGAAAAAAATTTGATAAACCTTTCTTGTTTTTCAAACTGCACCTGCTTTCCCTCTTCATGATTTTGTATGAACTACTTACTTGTGCTTTCTGGTGTTTTAAATCCCAAACTGACTATTAAATTTGGAAGGTAGGCACCAGCTAAATTCATTTTGGTTGACTAAGAGCCCTTCTGACCTCAAAGTGTTCATGAACAAAGTTTTGCTTATTCATTTATACCCTGCTTTTTTCTCTGCTTGCTACAAAATATACACAATTATATAATGGAACGTAAATAGAAAACCAGAACCAAAAACATGGTAAGCTGTAAATAAGCAAATTGTAGGAGTTTGACTTTAGCTCTGAAGTACAGAACAACCAATATCCTACTCATTTTCAGGCTGGAAAACACACACACACACACAAGAATTCCTCATAAGAAGGAAAACTCCCTGGTACTGAATTGTTAAAATAACTTTCTTCTTATTTTAAGAAAAATACACTTTAATTGTAAAATATTGTGAAGGAAGAAATAGAATAAAACAAAAACATCTGTGATGTTATCACCCATCATTAACTATTGCTAACATTGAAAGAGACTTGCAATAATTTTTAAGCATAAATATACTTTTTCAAATTGTACTTATACTGCCCAGACTTCTCTTTTCACTAACAGTATATCACAAACATTTTGTTCCATCATATTCTTTAAACAAACTAACAATTCTTAAAGATTTCTGAAAGATACTTCACAACTATTGGTATATATCTAATACTACATTGTGTTGTTAAGGAAGGAAACCAATATGTATTATGTGCTAGGTCTTGTATAAGCTTATGTTGTTCTCAGGTTTAGCCAGAGTTGCTGATTAAATTTAAAGATAGAATTGTATTAGCTGACATGTTCTCTAGTGCATTTGAAATGTGGCTGACTTCATAAAAATTTGGCTCACACAGTTTTCAGAAATATTTCTGTACTTGTATTGCATAACTTAGCATTTATAAGGAAGAGAGAGAGAAATGCTGAAAGACCCGAGTCTTAACTAAAGGGGAGGAATGCCACTCAGTTCTCTGATCTAAAGTGGTGTATTATGTATCCTTTGATTTCTTGATAGCTTAGAAAGAGCTTAAACATCTTTTTCTAGCCTCCTGGTCATTAGTTAAGGAGCTCTGGTGGTGTAGTGGTTAAGGCATTGGGCTGTTAACCAAAAGGTTGGCGGTTTGAACCCACCAGCTTTTCCACGGAAGAAAGATGGGGCAGTCTGTTCCATAAAGATTTCTTTGGAAACCCAGTAGGGGTGTTTTTGAATAGAAATTGACTTGATGGCAATGGTTTTGGTTTTGGTCATTAGTTAGCTATTAGGGAGCAGGTAGAGATCACGTTCTCCATCAATTCTCATTTTGATTTTAATTTGACTCACAGAAATAATGGGGGAAAACAGGGGAGCTTTTGAGATCATGGTTCTCGAGTTCCAGTATGTCAACCAGTCATTGAGATGGTCCAGATTCCTAGGCTCCATCTTCATAGATTTTGATTTATTGGGTCAGAGATAAGGCCCAGGAATATAAATATCTGTCGCCTTCAGATTTTCTGGAGCAAATTCTTTCTTTAGTCATCCTTGAAAGTCATTTTCCCAATTCCTGAATCACCTAAGTGTGCTTCTCAAACTGTGGTATAAGTCTTCTTTGAGGTTTATGACAGTGGATGAAGTCATAGAATCAGCATGGTATATCTTCCTGGATTGTTAGTTTCACTCAAAGACTTTAGAGCAGAATGATATTAATATTTAACATGGAACAGAATGTAAAATTCACATGAATTTTTAAAATAAACCAGGAACTTCAAAGAAATTTCCTAACTAGACCAACATCCCATACTTCTAGGGATCCATATTTACCCTTCTTTACTGTGATAGGGTACCTTTGGTAGAAAACCTTAATTAGGACAATTTTAATTGTAACTTTTCAGAAATAGTGATATAAACAGGGTAATGATATGGAATGTACAAATAAAATATGCCTTTTAAAAAGATAATTGAGTGATTGAATAATAATTCCTTAAGCATTCTCTTTTCCTACTTAGAAAAGCATTTCTATGTTGCAGATGAACTGTCTCATTGTGTTGATCCTGTGCCATCTCAGGTGCCAGATCAAAGTTCTAGAGACCATCAGCAAGGTAAGCCTCCTTTTCTCACTGCTGTAAAAGCTAAGACTTCCTCACGCTCTGGTCCACATACGACTGAGATAATGAAGACAACAGATGATTCCATATCTAAAGTCCTAGACTGGTTTAATCGAAGTTCTCATTCAGATGACAGACCATCTCTCAAACATCCCAGAGGAAAAGAGCCCAAAGAAAAAACAGACTTAAAATCACAAATTGCTATTGCCTTAGTCACAGATGACACAAGTCCAAAAGAAAATGGCTCAAAAGCCCTATCTCCCACCCAAGTTGAATTGAAGCCTGTGAGATCTGATTCAACATTCCTGGTGGAGGGAGATCTGCTACCTTCTGGAAATTACCAAGATAATGGTGTGAATTTCAAATTGAAATCTATGAATTTGTCCCCACAAGGCACCATGAAGGAAGGCCTAGGCATATTGCAATCATTTGAAAACTATGATGATGCAGGTCAAAGAAGTGAAAATAAGGACTGTAGCCAAGATTCAAAAAACACAGGAGAAGGAACTGGGATATATCTCCCGATCAGCAACTATTCCTATAGTGCTCTCAAAGGATCTGACACTGAAGATCAAGTTCCATGTAACATTAAGGATGTTGTCATCTTGAGTGAAGAAGAATCCAAGCTTTGTGTCCATCAAAAACATAGAGGAAACTTGGAAGTGAATTTTTACTCTTCAGCAATTGTTAAAGAGCCAAGTTTGAAAGACAACATGAAAGCAGAGAGAAAGAGCAAAGGAGGAGATACTTACATTCTGAAAGCTTCCTTAGAGGCAGAGAATATTGAGTTGCTCTCTGGGGCTGCCAACAACAGATCTCCTTGGAAGATGCCTGATGTTGGACCACAACAAGAATCTAATGAGCTTTCCAAGAATGAGGTGCAAAGAGAGAGGTATAAAAGAGTAAGTGATAGAATATCCTTTTGGGAAGGAGAAAAAGCTGCTGCCAAATTAACTTATAAAGAACCCACATCTTCATGCAGCCAGGGACCTTCTGCTAAAGCCTATCAGCCTGTGAAGTCACTGGGTATGCACACCAACAATTCATCTATAGGCCAAAATGACTATAATCAAGTCACTGCCAAGCAAGTGATTCTAGATGAGGACAATCAAGCTTCCCATCATTTGAGTTTTCATTCTTCAAATAAACCTAAAGAGACCAGACTCCCAAAATCAGGAGCACCCAGCATAAATGAGCCCATCAAAAAGTTGCCAGTGGAAGACAGTTTGCATTCTGGAAGGGATATTTCTTTACTAGCATTTCAACATCCCCTAAATGGTGACAATGAAATACAATCTCCCTTGGAAAAAGACAGTTCTCTAATTGGTGAATCAAAACCCCACTTTAAAGTTTTGACCTTAAAAGAAAGAATGGATGAAACCAACACAGAACAGGTCTATAATCACTCTCAGTTTGAGAATTTGAGAAAGTTTTGGGACTTAGAAGCTAAGTCAAACAGTGAGGCTAATGTTGAGAAGAAAAGTATCACAACAAACTATAAACATTCTATGCCTTTTAATAGCCACAAACACAAGGAATCCAATGACATTAAATCATCTGGGAAACATATGCATGAAGTAGAGGCTCCTCTAAGCCATAAAAAAACTCCAGCAAGGAAGGAAATGGAGAAATTAAATTCAAAGAGCATACCTCAGGTGCTACCAGATGAAACCACACTTCTGTGGAGACCACCCAGAACATCTATTCATCAGTTGCCAGGAAATGAGTCATCAAAGGAAAACATGGAAAAGAATACAGAATGGTCTGTTACTCCAGTAATCAAGAAAGAAAAAGATTACTCAGACCAAGAGATTGAAGAGTCCATAGTGAAAACAAGTGTTTTTTCTAGAGATTACAAAGACACTTTTAATGACAGCCTACAGAAACTGCTTGCAGAAGCTTCACCACCAGCTATCCAACCTTTTGGTGGAAAAGTTCTTGTGAAACAAGACCTTGAACGAGGTTTTTCTGAAAATAGAATGTGGCCTCAAAAGACAGATTTGGCTGATGCTGAGGAAGAAGCTGAACAACCTAAAGAGATAGTTAATGAGCATGTAGATAGAACTGTAGCTCCTCCAAAGGTTGAATGTAACACTTTCATTGCTAGTCTGAACAAACTCCTGAAGGAAGCATCTGAAATTTCACCCTCTCCCTTGCCAACCAATTTGGAACCTGTTACCGCTGGAACCCACTCTGAGCCTGAAGAGAGCAGGATTTTTGAAAAAGTGATGGATGGGAGTCACAACACTTCAGATGAGAGAGAAAGGATAGCTTCTTTTCCAAAGGAGGAAGAGACTTTGGGAAATGCAGCTGTCCCCCAGAAAGTTCAAAGTGGTGAGTGCCAACTAAACACAGAGAACTTGGTTCAGATGGCTGTGGGAGTTTCTCACCATCTTCACAGAAAGGATTCTTTCAGTGATGAGGCTACCTCTCCCCAACATCTGTCTTTTTCCTGGGATGCTCATCATGATTTCCAGGATAAGGCACTGCCTTCTCAAAGGGAAATCTCAGAAACTGTAGAAAAAGTCATTCTTCCACCCAAAACTGCATTGCATGATACAAATGCTGCATTACAGAAGCTACTAAGAGAAGCTCAGTTGAGTCATTTAACTGGGAGGGAAGTAATCTCTGGAGAAGTGAATGCAGAATTTCCTGAAGGAATACAGGCAGCAGATAGCCCCCAAATTTCTCAGGGAATTATGGCACCAGGAGCTACAATCAAAGTTCCAGACAGAAAGGATTTTTATTCCTTTAATTTAGTTCCTGATAAAACCTATGAAATTGGATCTTATGTAGTATCTACAGACAGAGTAGTTCAAATACCTCCATCAGAACAGAGCTTTATCTCATCTGGTTCCACTGTTGTTCTTTATAGCAAAGAACTACCTCAGGAAGGGGCAGAAACTGTGAGGGAAACAATTATTCACCCCAAATCACAGCACCTCAAATTCAGTTCTGGCTTAGAAAAACTACTGGAGGAAATCATTGAAAACTTCCCTGCAAAATATGAAAGCAGTACAGGGACTCTTTCTGTGTCACAGTCAATAGGCAGTACTGAGGAGCCCAGGCAAGCTGCTTCTGAATTTCATCTTGAGGAAATAAAAGAAACAGTGGAAAAGTCTGAGGCTCCATCAATTACTGAGAGTGCTTTTGATACTAGTTTAGAGAAACTCCTTAAAGAAATACCTGAAGTTTCTTACCAGCTCCAGATGTCAGTGAAGGAAGAAACTCCTGAGGAGTCCTCACTGTTAGAGAAGACTAAGTTCTTGGGTACAGTGTCCCATTTTTACTGGACAGCCTCAGAGGCATCTGAAATGAAGGTTAAGAGCAATGTTTTGAAATGTCAAGTCAACCAATGTGATAAAGAATTGGGAGGAGATAAAACTGTGACTGGTGTATTGGTAGATCTCTGTGGTCCTGAGAGTGGGATTGAGAGCTCTGGAATCCCACAACTTTGTGTAGACCATGAAATAGGGACCATTAAAACTATGTACTCTTCAGAGGACAGGGAATGTGAGATTGCAGGGAGAGAAGGGAATTTTCAGGAGCGTGACTTTCAAGAAGCTCCTGAACGAAATAATCTGTCCAGATATAGGCAACCCATTTCTCTCCTGATGAACCAAGAAAACCCTACAGAAGCAAGTAAAATTGAACTGTTTCTGGCATCACCATATAAGAGAAAAGAGAAAGAGGAAGAAAAAGTTTTCTTTGACTCTGATTTTTCCGATGGAAACATCAGTTCTAATGCCGAGAGCGGGAGATACACCAGTGAGCATTTTGTAATGTTTATTCCATTGATTTTGAGTCTACATTTTGAAATGTTGATGTAAAGAATGGTACATATTTTTTATTGGGATTAATTTGACACTCCCTGATGTTGCTAAATTTTTTAGCGCCTAAATCATTTGACTGCTAACCAGAAGGCTGGTGGTTCAAACCCACCAGCCACTCCTCGGAAGGAAGACTGGGCAATCTACTTCCATGGAGATACCACCTTGGAAACCCAAAGAGGGGTCGCTATGAGTCGGAACCGACTTGATGGCAGTGAGTTGTTGTTTTGTTTTGTTTTTTTTCCAGTTTTTCTGAGCCTTTTTTTTTTTTTAAAAAAAATAAAAGTACATTTTATTTTATAGTCTTTAATGAAATGAATAACATAGAGACAGTTTTACTGCAAGGCTGTGTTTGAGATTGATCTTTTGTCTCATTAATCTACCAATAGAATTTTTAGGTTTCAAAAATATTTTTAAAGACTTTTTGGGTTTAGAAAGAACTTCTAAAACACACAAGCTAGTTTTTCCTGGAAATAATGAGAATTTCTTTCTTATTGGCAATCTACATAGAAATCTCCAGTAATATCTATGGCAAGGAATTGCCACAGATGATCACAAATTTCCCTTTTAGGAGCAATATTTCACTACATTGTTGGATGCCAAGGAGAAAGTTCAGAACTGGAACTTTCCCTCAGGTATCTTGTGCTGTGGTGTTTTTGTTGCCACTCATGCCGTCTCATGTTCAGTAATTATATAATCTTTGCTATCTGCAGAATTTTCCCCTTCTAGAGTATGACTTTGGTCAGATGACTTCACCTGATTCCACCTAAGGGTATTGCCTGAATTGCATCACTGTTTGACTACAGCTTTGGTTAAGTTGATGGAGATATTACTTGATCACCACATTCATTTAAGTGGATTTGAGAGTGCTGGTTTCAGCCAGGCTATAAAACATAGAGCTGCTCTGTTTGCTATTCTGATCAACAGTTAGGCACTGAAGCGGAGAACCCTGGGAATAAATAGAAATGAGAAGTTACCTGATTAGAATGATGAAATGATAGAGGGTGCTCTGTGACAAGGATATTTTAACCAAAGTTGTGCAACTACTAGTGTTGATCACCTTCCTTATCATTTAATAAAGTTAAATGATTTAATAAAGCTAGTCATTTTCTAGCTCCCTTTGGTTTCAGAAAAACAGAGAAGCTTTACTGAATGGTTGACTTCTGAGGTTTGGAATCCCTTACAAGTAGCTACTAGGCCCTATTCTTGAAAACTGACTAAAGAATCAATGTTTAATCTCAATCAAGGTGAACCTTCTTTAATAAATGTTGCTAGTAAGAAAAGTGAAATACCATTTCTAATCTCTGAAAGCAGACATATGGAAGACTATAAACTAGCATATTAAACTTGATCAGGTAGACTATTACTTAACTATCCCATGAATTACTAGAGTAAACTGACCCAGAGAGGTGGAGAGCTTGCAAATTTATACTTACTTTGGAGACTATTGCTCTAATGTCTATTGCAATATTTATAGTATACCAACATAATTGATCGAATAGCAAAAAGCCTATCTAAAAATTAAATGATCAATATTAAATAACCACTCAAATAGAGCCATAGAAGGAATTTAAAAATGATAAGCCAAGTAAAAGCTATAAAATGGTGTAGTCATGGTTTTTATATTCTCTAGTATGTGTTAAAGACAAGGAGAGGGTAAAGGGAGGGTACCATAATTTTGGTGAACAAGCTAACATGTCTGACTTGTGACTGAACTATTAGCCAACCAATACTCAATGAGCTTCTTTAAAAAAAAAAAAAATTCCATGGCAAATGTTTATGGAAATGCTAGGAGATGATGTATATTTATCAGCATATTAAGGTCTCTGAGAAGTTCTACGCTAAGAAACCTTTTAAACTTAAAGAATCCATTCCCCTCCTCATCTTTTTTTTTCTTTTTTTCTTCCAAAATGCCTTTATTTGATAAAACAAAGACATTGGTTAAAGATAGGGTTTTCCTCCTTAAAAAAAAAAAAAGTTGTTGTTGAAAATATGCAAAGCAAAACATGCATCAGTTCAACCATTTCTACATGTACAGTTCAGTGACTTCAATTACATTCTTAGAGTTGTGCAGCCATTCTCACCCTTCTTTTCTGAGTTGATCTTCCTTTATGAACATAAACTTACTGTCCCCTAAGATTCTTATCTAATCTTTCAAGTTACTGTTTTCATTTTGATCCTGTATAGATAGTTCTTAGGAGTACATAATACTCAAAGCAGACCTTTTTTACTTTCCTCCTCTTTTTAAAAGGCCTACCTCATGTCATTTCCCAGCGTGTTTGTTGGAAATTTTACTAGGTCAAGAAACCCAAAAAGCCTACATCTGTTGATCTGGAGAACCCGCTATTCTCGATTATACACAGATGTTAAACATCTGAATACTCCTTCCAGGCTTTTCAGCTAATTTTTTTTTTTTAATGCCCCTGAAATCATCCCATGACTATTGTCTTTAAAAGCTAGGATGTTAAGTGGGAAGATCCAAAGTCTGGCAAGAAAAAATCATGTGCCAAAAATAGATGCATAGACATCTAAAAGACCACATTTCTAATGATACAGTAATCTTGTTTCTATATGATTTCATGTTTGAAATATTTCTTGACCAGGAGGATAATTTTTAAGAAAAAAAAAAAAAGTAGTTACTAAAGCAAAAAATAAACCATTGCTGCCAAGTGGATTTGGACTCACAGCAACCTTATAGGACAGAGAACTACCCTAGTTCTAGGGTTTCCAAGGCTACAATCTTTATGGAAGCAGACTACCGCATCTTTCTTCTGTGGAGCAGCTGGTGGGTTTGAACCACAGACCTTTTTGGTTGGCAGCCAAGCGCTTAACCACTGCACCACTAGGACTCCTAAAAAAGCAAACAATTAGTGGGAAATTTTATTTTCTTCTGTGAAGTAAATGCTTGTTGCAGTAAATAAATACAGAGATGCTTATGGCATGATGTCACCTTTCAAGCTACTATTTCAATGTCCATTGGTTGTTAAGATGTTTTCTTTTTTGTATTGTGCAGCATTCATCGGTTTTGTCTTGTAACAGGTTCAGAAGAAGAACCCAGTCCTGTTTTCAAAACTATGGAAAGGAGTGCTGCTAGGAAAATGCCTTGCAAAAGTCTAGAAGACATTTCATCAGATTCATCAAGTGAGAATAAAGGTTGCCCCATTGTTCATGCCCATCTAAGCTTAAAAATGCTTATGTGCTCTTCTGTGGCCTGACTGCATGCTGTTGTGCACCGAAACCCCTAAAAGGGGGAAGGTTAACAGACGAGAATAACCTTTCCCAAGTGAGATGAAGAGGCCCACCTAAAGCGATTAGAAGTTTGCTTTTAAAGGAACAAACGAAGTTCGAGATTCGATTACTAGAACACTAGGTTTCTTTGAATCAGTGAATCTCAGTTTGAGTGTTACTCAAGTCCATTGAGTTTTAAAAGATTTTAAAAGATTGAGTTTAAAAGATTGTGATAGTAGTAATACTACTAGTAAAGATAACATTTATTGAGCATTGTGTCCTAGATACTTGGCTAAGTGTTTTACATACATTATCTCATTTAATCCTTTTAAGAAACCTTTGAGGAATGAGTTCTTATCCCCATTTCACAGATGAGGAAAATGAAACTCAAAGAGGTGAAGTAACTTGCTTAGTGTCACACAACAGAGCTGGGTCTCAAGATCAACAGACTATTATCAAGAGCATTTGTGAAGTAACAGTGCTATATCTGACAGTGTTGAATGTCAGTGAATTTTGTAGGATATGAAAATGAATTACTTCCTGGCTTCACAGGACTTTTCTCTTTTATCCTTTCTTTCCTATGGATGCCTTTCTTTTGGATCCTGGAGCTATAAACCCAGATACTGCCCAACATGGACCATTTTAGGGACACTATTCCCTACGGGCTGCTTCTTTAATTGGTGAAGGATTTCTTGAGGACTAACAGAAAGCCTAATGTATATAGGGACTTATGTGCCAGGCAAATGGACTTAGAAATCATGACTTGTAGGGGTTTTAATTGTTACTGTTTTTAAGCTTAAAATATACCCCTAGGATTACAGAGGGTCATGAGAAAACTACTGAGCAAAATTAACCACTGCCAAACTCATGTGGTAGATAATTGACATTGTGAGTTTTATGTTGTGTTTTAAAATGAATGTGCATTTGAAACTAAAATGTCAGAGTTTACAAAGGAAAAGTCACTACACCAAGCAATTTCTTCAATCCAGAGATTCTCGGGGCTCTGAAGACAGTATCTCTAATTTAAAATGCAGTCCTTACCCTCCCAAGGATCTTGGAATCTCGGGTTGGAGGGGACCTTGAAAATCATCCATTCCATCCTCCCCCTAATGCAGGAATTCCCTCTAAAGCTGCCTTAACAGGTGGCCAACCCCCACATCCTTTTGAATAATTCCAGAGAAGGCGAGTCCAGTCCTTTGTTGGACAGCCTTGATTGTTCTTCTGTATATTGGTAATGGCCCCTAAGGGGGGGGGAAAAAAAAAAAAAAAAAAAGAACAACTCTGCAGCAATTGTCCAATTTAGCAGACCTCTTGCCTGAGAAGTGTGAGAGTATTTCCATGGTGCAGCTTTAAATTACTTAGGAATGTGTAGGGTTAAAAAAAAAAAAAAAAACTACCATCAGCTGACGGGTATTCCTGCATGCTCCATTTCAAATACCAATACCCACTCTCACACTAGCCTGCCAAGATTCCACTTAGCAGCTGGTCCCCAGTTACATCTTTTCAGTTGACTTCCCAAGCAAGCCTCCCAGAGGCATATGCAAACGATGATGCACACACACAAATATTTGTTAATAGACCAAGGGTTTGGGAAGGTTTTAGTCACGGCTAGCTTTTTACTCTTTCCAGAAGAATAGAGAGGCTGTTGTAGCCTGTGCTTTCTCTTGCTGCCGGCCGATTGCTTGCTCTGCGCTAACCCTCTAACCCTTGGGAGTCAGTGTGCAGCAGTGTGCTGATGTAAGCTGCATCGGGGCTGAAATGGGAGCTCCCGCTATAGCACTGGCTCAAGTAGCTAATCTACAGAGAAAGTATTTTGGGGAAGACATCTTGGTTGCACCCCTCACTGCATCTTGACTAACTGCTTCCAACTCCGGGGGCTTCCAGGGACAGTCTCATTGTTCTTTCTCTCCCAGGGTCAGCCGTGTTAACCATCTGTTAATTTCTCCTGAACAGATCAAGCAAAAGTAGATAATCTGCCAGAAGAATTAGTACGTAGTGCTGAAGATGGTAAATATCTTTATATATTTGCATGTCTTTCTGTGTATTAGGCTATGGGATGATTTGGGCAGCGTCCGGGACGCAGCTGTTAGATAAATAGAAGAACGTCATTTGCCACTATGTAATGAATGGCACTTAAGTTATTATAAAAACAGCTCTGACTTGGTGTATTTAATACTGTTTGTATTCTTAAGGCTACTGCTGGTGATACCTTGTAGGATCTTACCAGAGACCCTTAGGAAGCAAGAGTTTCTATAAATAGAAAATTTCATTTCTATAGATATGAGCTGATTTTTGCTACTCTGACTTGCAGAAGTCCTTGTGAAGACAGGGCAAGTGGAGTGGGTTCCTGGGATAAGTTATTCTTGTTTGATTCTCAAATTTCAGCAATAAGTCTGTGGGCACAACTGATAAAGCCTTAAGTTCAAAGGAAAGGGTCCCAGAACAAAGGTGGGCATCCTGCCTCTGCTCATGACAAATACTAGGTACAAACCCAGAGTGAAATTATTTATTCTCAGTATTAAGGAGCCAGAAGATCTTGAAGCTTGTCAATGGACCAGGTATTACTTGGTTCAGTTAAGAAATGATTAGAATAATAGTGCCTGGTCGGGGGAGACATGAAAATGGATCTGATTTTTATAGTTCATCGTTAATGCAAATGTATAATTCATATTTGTATGCTGGTACTGCTGGGGTTTTGCATTTTTTCTTTTTTCTTTTTGCTAAATTGCCTTCACTATATCAATAAAAATGTTTATTCACTAAGCTTTTCCATATAAAATGCAAACAGCTTTTCAAAGGTCATGAATCAGTTCCTTTTATGTAATAAGTTTGGTCTTTCTCATTGAGGGGCAGGGATTTTTGTCTTGTTTTTACAAATAGGAAAAGCTCAGAGATGATGAGGCGACTTGTCTAAATATCCTTTAGATAGGCAGTCAGTGGGTGGGCCAGGAATGGAATCTCGGCTTCATTACTCCTAGTCCAGTGCTCTTTCCCATTTTCCATGCTGTGGCTTAGTGAATTAAAGGAAATATGCTAAGTATCTCCTATCTGGATCTTGGATTTTTAGTTGAACAGGAGACCTTAAAGAAGATGAAGAGTCAACTGGGGCATGAATGAAAGCTAGCTGAAAACCTGTCAGCTGTATTCTGCAGTCTCAGTTGTGAAACTGACATTTGAGCTTTACTTTTTTGTCTCATTATTCCTTCTGTTAAAATGGTATTTATTCTCAATGTTGCTCTTCTGAGTAGATCAAAAAGCAGATCAGGAACCAGAAACAAATGAATGCATACCAGGAAGTGAGTAGTAGGATCTTTTTAACAAATAACTAAACTTTGCCACTCTACATGGTGTTAAATATACTGAAATAACTAACTTCATTAATAAATAATTTAGCATTTATTATTGGTACTAAAATCCTGCAGCCTAAAAAACTATTTCATTCTGACAAGGGCTTTATTTAAAAGCACTTTATTACTATCTATGTTGAAAGATACTAATTTGTGGTTCTACTGAGAAAGATGTTTATATAAAATGTTACATATAGATGTATGTCTATATAATATATGTTGTTGTTGTTGTTGTTGTTGTTGTTATGTGCCGTAGAGTCATACCCGACTCATAGCGACCCCTCCTTGGGTTTCCGAGGCAGTATCACTACGGAAGTAGATTGCCCTATCTTTCTTCCGAGGAGTGGCTGGTGGGTTTGAACCGTCAGCCTTCTGGCTAGCAGTCAAGTGCCTTAGGCACTATGCTACCAGAGCTCCTATATAATATATGTATATATCTTATTTAACATATATCTTATATATTATTGCTGAATATTCTGCTTTTGTCAGACTCTCTGCTCTTTGAAGCTTTGCTAAATCAAATGGGCATCTTCTAGTATCATTTGACTTTTATGTTGCCATATGGTCTTGAGTACTGAATCTCTTATGTCCTCTATACAAGACTATAGACATGAAGCAGTTTGTACTTTATTTGGACCTAAGAAAGAACTGCACTTTGACAACTAATATTTACATGGTTGTATATATCTCTCTACATATCTATATAAGCAAATTTTATTGTGTACAAGATTTAAAGTCTAAGGTTCAAAACTGAGGTTATATTCGACATATAAAGCAAGTAAATATCTGAATCTAGAAAATAAATGTATACTTGTGGTGACTAATGTTTATCAACTAATTTATATTCACCACCAGATAAAGATAATCCTGTGTTTTCCCTTTTCTTTTCAATCTTAAAATTGTCCTACTTAGCTGAGACTACTGTCTTAAGGACAAATAGCACATTAAAAAGGTATTTTTAGAGCCTAGCAAAACAATGCCAGACATGTACATGTGCCATCTTGGCTTTCCAATTTCAGTCAGTTTCCTAAAAATAGGCACTGGAGGTATGTAGGTAAGAACATGCCTGCTCTCAGGAGTTCACAGCATTTTCAATAACAATCCCCAACAGTTTTTGGATGTGCTAATAGACTTTAATGAGAATAGCTAAATGAAGGAGCCATTAGATGGAAAAAGTGCTGATGCTAGAAATCAGTGACATCTAGTATGAAACCTGAAACTTTGCTCAAGAGGTCCACCTGTGAAGGTGCTGAGCTTTGGCACCTGACTTGACAAATACGTAAGAACTGCCTAGGAAAGAAGCAAGACTCTGGCCCTTGTGGGCGTGTGTTCTCTCTTTAGCTGCTACAGAAGAAGCAAGACTTCTGCCCATAGCAAAGTGTTAGGTAAAACAGCCTTTCAGTTGCTTTTGAACTGGCAGATGCTTAAGGTTGGGTATCTTATTTTCTCCTGTTATATTTTATTCAACATTTAGTCTGAGGAATGAAAACAAAATGTGTACAGCACATGGGCCTATATATATATATATGTATCTTTATTTGTGACCTCCTGATTGACTTAGTTATTGGGCAAGTAAGTTATTGGGTAAGTAAGCTAATAGTATGTGAATTAATTTCTTCCAATTGTATGGTATTTCCCAAAATTACCCTCAGTGCCTGGGCCAAATGTATTCCTTTCCTTTAGGTGAAGGAGTATATTTTTACCACAAAAAACAAAATGAAATCCATGATCAAAACATAAGTAAAATTCATAAATATAAAATTGACTACATCTGATTGATTTTGACCTAGTGGTATTATCCAACAATATATTTTAAAAAAAATAATATTAAAAAAAAAAAAAATCTCACTGCCGTCAAGTTGGACCCAACTCATAGCGATCCCTCCTTGGGTTTCCGAGGTGGTATCCCTATGGGATACACTCCTTCCAAGGAGTGGCTGGTGGGTTTGAACCATCAGCCTTCTAGTTAGCAGTCAGATGCTTTAGGCACTATGCCACATTTTTATAACAACAAAATTTTGCATGCTCATTGGGCCATACTCTGGCTTCCTGGGACATATTCTAACACTGTTGTCCATATATGTCACCCTAATACACACACCTGCACACACACACATTCTTGTTTAGTTGGAAGTGATTAAAGCAAATATTATTCTAGTGAAACACTATAAATGTATTTTGATGTGTAGCTCAATTTTCAGTTTTTCTTTCATTAGATTTCCTCTAACTAAAAATTAAATTAACTAATACCTGGGGTCCAATCTGAGGCTTTTGAGTTATACTGTTATTTGTGTATCATGGAATAATTGTAACTCATAGCTACCCTATAGGACAGAGTAAAACTGCCCCATAGAGTTACCTAGGCTGTAATCTATACAGGAGCAGATCTGGGCAAATCTTTCCTTCCAAGAAGCTACTAGTGGAGTCAAACCACCAACCTTTCGATTAGCAGCTGAGCACTTAACCATTACACCACATACCGCCAGGGTTCTTTCCTTTGAGTTATATATATAGAGAGAAATATAATTTTATTTTTGTCTATTTTACTAATATCCCTTCAAAACATAAAGCTAAGATACCTGTGTATCATGTTCAGCAGATAATTTAATAATATCACATGATATCTATTTGTTTAACAACTACTTACATAGGGTCTGGGAGTTCTGGTGGCATAGTGTCTAAGGCATTTGACTGCTAACCAAAGGCTGGCGATTCAAACCCACCAGCCACTTCTCAGAAGGAAGGTTGGGCAATCTACTTCAGTAGTGATACTGCCTCGGAACCCAAGGAGGCGTCGCTATGAGTCAGATCCGACTTGACAGCAGTGAGTTTGGGGTTTTTTTTTTTTGGTATATAGAGTTTACTATATAGTGCCTAAAGGCACTTGACTGCTCACCAGAAGGCTGGCGGTTCAAACCCACCAGCCACTCCTTGGAAGGAAGGTTGGGCAATCTATTTCCATAGTGATACTGCCTCGGAAACCCAAGGAGGGGTCGCTATGAGTCGAGTCCAACTTGACGGCACATAACAACAACAACAACAGGGTTTACTATGGGCCATGCACTAAGCACTTTGAAGAATATTAACTCATGCCATATAAAAGCTACAGTTCACTCTAAGAAAAACTTAGATATTGTGATTCTTAGACAAAGAAGAAAATAGTTTTCTAGCTGGAAATATGCAAATTAGGAATAAAATTTATCATCTTATTGTGCCTTCCACACATATACTTAATATATCAGAAAGAATCCATATACCACCTTTTCATATTAAATTCTCAGAGTATTCTAACCTGAATCATTCAACCTTGGCCTTGGAATATCTCTATCGATTATCCTCTGAGTTGACAGGTATCTAAATAATTTCTATTTTTTTTTTAATTTTAAAATTATACTCTTTCATAATTCTGAGTGAAACACTATCAGAAAAGTAATCCCCATAATCACTAAACAAACAAACCATCTTTTAGGCTCTCAGTAAATAGCCAGGCCACTGTTATTATTGACTTGTATACAGAGATCTTTACCATCCAGATGAAATAGTTTTCAGCTTGCAGCATGTTAGAAATATAATGTATCTTGAGGAGATGAACCAATAAATTATAGCTTAGATCTTGGGGTTAGATATTCAAATATGAAAAAATAAAATCAATCAAAAAATTGTTAAAATATTGACAATATTCCTTAATACAATTCAAGTCCAGCTGCAATTCAATAAAAACTCCTAGTTTTTTTAATTAATTTTTATTTTGAATTTGGTTCACCTCCTTGCTAGTTCTCTATGTAATTTATGAAAACTGCATGTTGCTTACCTTATGATCCTGTGCATGTAAACTACTGTGCCTCTAACCTTTTTACAAAAACGTCTCTGTTCTTAGATGAAAGAGAAATGTGTTTTCAACTTATGCCTAATGTTGTCTGACAATTGTAAGAATAATTTTGAAATGGAAATGCTGCTGTTTAGTTTCCACAGTGCCATCACAACCTGGTAATCAGTTTTCCCATCCTGACAAACTCAAAAGGATGAGCAAGTCTGTTCCAGCATTTCTCCAAGATGAGGCAAGTTCGTCTTTTGTACTTTCAGAAAAATGGAACCAGATAGGTGGATTTTCTAATGCCAAGATTGGAATATTCGTATTCTGTTGTGGCAGAGACCAAAGAGGTCAGCAGGACTGACCCTTGCCTTCCAAGTCAATAGAGGTAGTGTTGTTGATCCTGGAACAAGGTGACATGTTTCATTTGACTCAAATAGTAACTCTTTTTGGTTATTGCATAGATTTGGAAATGTGACTTTTATTTCAAAGTGAGTACAAAATAAGAATCAAGGCAGAAATATGTTGACATGAACTAAGTACTCCTCTGTAATTTAGAGTAGAATTTATGAAAACTTAGTCTAGGTAGCATAACTAGTTTGAAAACGTTTGTTAAAATCATAAAAATAGCAATGACAATAGCAAATTTTAAAGAATCTAGGGGGGAAAAAAACTCAACTGCTGTCTAGTTGATTCAACTCACAGTGACCCCCTCCTTGTGTTTCTGAGGCGGTATCTGTACGGAAGTAGTTTGCCCCATCTTCCTTCCAAGGAGTAGCTGGTAGGTTTGAACTGCTAGCCTTCTGGTTAGCAGTCAAATGCCTTAGTCACCATGCCACCAGAGCTCTCTTACAGAATCTGTTGTGTTGTTGTTATGTGCCATTGAGTCAGACCCAACTCATAGCGACCCCTCTTTGGGTTTCAGACACAGTATCACCCTGGAAATAGATCTTCCTTCCAAGGAGTGGCTGGTGGGTTTGAACCACTAACCTTCTGGTTAGCAGTCAAATACCTTAGGCACTACGCTACCAGAGCTCTCTTAAAGAATCTAGTAGGTGCTAAAGGAGTTCTGGTGGTGTGGTGCCAAAGGCATTTGACTACTAACCAGAAGGTTGGTGGTTCAAACCCACCAGCTACTCCACAGAAAGAAGACTGTGCAATCTACTTCTGTAAAGATTTACTGCCTCGGAAACCCAAAGGGGGTCGCTATGAGTCAGAATCGAAGGCAGTTTGGTTTGGGTTTGAGTAGGTGCTAGACACTTTGCAATACATTATCTCATTTAATCCCCATACCTACACTGGGATGGAGGCACCATCATTATCCTCACATATGACAGGTGTGGAAACTGAGTCTTAGAGAGGTAAAGTAACCTTACTTAGCTGGAAAGGAGTTGAATTAGGACTGGAATCCAGATCTGACTCCAGACCTACTGCTGTCCCATGTTATCTCAAATAAGTTCTTGACTATTAGTTACTATTTGTTGAGTACCTAGTATGTACCAGGCACTTAATATTCATTCTAAAATCCAACCTTTGCTAACTGAATATGATAAATAGTATTTTTTTCAATTTTATAAAAGAGAAAGGAGCCCTAGAGAGGTTAAGTAACTTTCCCCAAATCCATCAGCTACTAAAAAGTAGATTTGGGATTCAAATCCTTTGATTCAAACTCATGTTCTTGCAGTCAGGTAGTTAGAAGCCTGAACTTTGGAATCAGACATTCCCAGTTCTGGCTATGATACTTATTTGCTGTCTAATCATGGACAAGTTCTTTAACCTGTCTTGAGTCTGGTTTCCCCTTACCTTACAACATGAGGTTACAAGGAGTCAGTGGGATAATGCAGGGAAAGCACAAAGTGAGTACCCAGTAAATGTTAGCTGTTACTATTTGCAGTTTTGGTCTGATTTCTGGTAGTGAAATAGAAGGCTTCATCTTCAAGCATTCTCTTGGTAGGTAGAATGTTAAGAAAGCTTTGGACAACAAATACATATTGCCCCCACTCCGTGAGCACCAAGTAAATTATACCCCTCTGTTCATTCACCAGGAAAGAGACCTGGTTGCACAGTGGTTAAAGCACTAGGCTGCTAACCAAAAGGTTGGCAGTTCAAACCCACCAGCCACTCCTTGGGAGAAAGATATGGCAATTTGATATACTAGGTAAAACGTAACACATGTGGTAATAGAGGGACATGCCTGTAAGCATGTAAGAAGTCTTAGAAACCCTGTGGCTCATTTATACTCTGTTATATAGGGTTACTATGAGTCAGAATCGACTCAATGGCAGTGGATTTGGTTTTTGGTTTGGCATGGACATCGATGAACCCTATCTTCAAACATTCAGCTCTTGTTTATGTTTAAGATCCCACATTACAGCTGCATTTGGAAAGAATCACTCATCTTTTGGAACTAACTCATTAGCAAGAAACCAGTGGCAGTCACCCCATGGAGTTCCTATGGTTTTATACCTTTGTAAATCAGCTTTGGTCTCCCAACACAGGAGGATTTGGGTGGTCATGTGAATGAACCATATAATATTTTGAGAGGCAAATGATACCAGCTCCTAATTTTTTTTCCCCTCCTCCCTTCAGTTTTAACTTGCTGTCTTATAGTTCCACACAGAATAGAGTCCAGATCATTTGGATTCATGCATCACAGATGCCAAAATCAAGCCATATCATTTTACCTTTCAAAGTATATAGAGTTGAACTGAGCATTGAAAAGGAAGTGGAGATAAAATCAGGCCTTGTTCCCTTGTTCACGGTCTCTTTGAGGCTTAACATTGGTCACATGTGTTGAGTGCCAGCTATGTGAAATGCGTTGTTCCATGTTGACAAGACAGGTCCAGTTTTTTTCAGTAGTTCACTAAGGAGTCTGATATACTAGGTAGAATATAATACATGTGGTAATAGAGGGACATGCCTGTAAGCATGTAAGAAGTATGAGAACAGAAACACATTAAAATTGTATACTCTATTTTTTAATCCTTGAGCGGGGATTCTTTTCTCATCCATCAATGTAAGTGATTGATTTTGTTGTTCTTTAACCCCTTTTCTTAATCTGCATTGGAATTGGCATCCATTATATTAATGCATAATTGCATGGCCCTGGAATATGTTGGCATGAACTAACTACTGTGTGTAGGTGGTCCCTTAACCATGGTAGCCACTGAACTACCCCATAAACCCTCCAAACCAAAAGAAGCTCATTCTAAATCACAAATCACAAATGTTTTAAACCTCTATCAAATAAACTTAGATTAAATATAAAAAAATTTGTTGTTGCCACTTCCTTTCTTGTCTCAGGTAAATATTTCCTGAGACATCATTAAAATAAGTACCTCATTGCTTTTTTTTTTTTTTTTTTTTTAAGAAATGTATTAAAATCGAATGTGGACAGAATACTTATTTTATATACTACCCCATGACAACATAACATAAACAAATAGCACTATAGGAATATATAAAGGATGGCTTAAAATAAAAACATACCTTTAGTTGAAACATCAGACTGGAATTTCTTTTTCCTAGTTTAACAGAGTCTAAAGTAAAAGATTTTATTTTTAGGGACATTATGGCTATGTTAATAATGAGGAATTTCAGCATGACTTTTTTTTACAGTAAATCTTAGACCATTTATGTCTGAGTAAAATTGATTTCTCATATATATCATGAAAGTTCTCCATGAAAAATAAATATACAGTTAGGAGCTCTGGTAGCATAATGCCTAAGGCACTTGACTGCTAACCAGAAGGCTGGTGGTTCAAACCCACCAGCCACTCCTCGGAAGGAAGGTTGGGCAATCTACTTCCATAGTGATACCACCTCAGAAACTCCAGGAGGGGTCACTATTAGTCGGGTTCAACTTGACAGCACATAACAACAACAACAACATTGAATGACAAGAAAGCTTGCAATAGTGCTGCTGTCTGTAGCACCTTTTGGTGAAAAAATTAACTTATTTTGGTAGCTAGCCACTATCCTCCTTAGATGAGGTCCAAGGCAGACCATCCGCCCCATCCTGTATCCCATTCTCTGACAGTTATCACTAGTGTCCATTGACCTTGGGAAATATCATAGATAAGTGGGACACCAAGATATTGTCTTTGACTAAACAGAGATTCTGATTTTGACTCATTGTGAATTTAAATACTGTGTGTATTATATGATGTTTTGTAGAGTGATGACAGAGAAACAGATACAGCATCAGAAAGCAGTTACCAGCTCAGCAGACACAAGAAGAGCCCGAGCTCTTTAACCAATCTTAGCAGCTCCTCTGGCATGACGTCCTTGTCTTCTGTATGTAAACAAATGCACCATGTTAATATCTGCTTCTGTGAACCTTGCTCAGCCTCGCTCTTGCTCATTGAAAACGTCCTCCTGTTGTATTCCTCAGATTCCAAGGGCATGAGCTTCTTCTCTAATCCGCAGTTAGCTTCTAGCTTCCTAAATCTCCCTTTTCTCTATTTTACTTCTTTTTTTTTTTTTGAAAGGGGAGGGAAATTATGGAGGGGATCATATCCATTATAAATGTGTTTTTTTTAAGAAAACAGTACTTCAAGAATAAACCTAAATTGCCAACAAGATAAACTACTCCATTTCTCTATGCAACAAATAGGGTAACTGTAATAAAGTCTGCTTGTATTAGATATATGTTCATATACTGTTTACACATACGGAATTATACCTCTCTTTAGCAAATCTGATGAATAAAAATACCAAAGTTCATAAAAGAGCATGTGAGGTGATTCTCATGGAAGGATTTGGAATAAGGTTTTTAAAGGAAAACTCTCTAAGGATAGTTGCTCAGACTTGATTTAAGAAAATTTTACTTACAAAGAACTTCTTACGTAAAGTGAGGTAGTAGTGTGTGCGTGTAGTGTGTGAGTGTATATACATACACACACATAAAAATATATCTGCATACCTTAACCAAATGTTTCTCTGATACACATACATATAGGATCTCTGGTGGCATAGTGCCTAAGGTATTTGACTGCCAACCAGAATGCTGGCTGTTCAGACCCGCCAGCCACTCCTTGGAAGGAAGACTAGGCAATCTACTTCTGTAGAGATACCACATTAGGAACCCAAGGAGGTGTTGTTATGAGTTGCAGTCGACTCAGTGGCATTTAGCATGACACATACATATATTCTTAGCTCACCAGGTGTTCTAATCAAATGATAAAACTGTGCTTAAATTCTTACAAGATTGGCATTTATCCCATTCTTTGTTTTGTTTTAGAATCTGTTTAAATTGAATTTCTGCTGATAAAAATCTATTGTCTGCCCTTGGGAAGATTTTAGGGGCCCTTCATTAGTCATCCGTTTCCTATCCTTTCTGACCTATAAAAGCACATGGTTCAGTAAGCCTTTTCTTAGAGTCAGTGGGTGGGTAAGGTAGTAAAATTCCTTTTCAGTGCCCTACAAATTTGATGGAGCAATGTGTCACTGTGGTTTGTGGTCCTGAGGCTTATCACATCCTCTGTCTTTGACTTTTAAATATGCCTGAAAATGGGGATGTGGATGACATCTAGCATCAAATCACCCTTCTTTGAAATGAGGCAACAACTACATATCTTTGCATTTCACTTTTCATCTTAGTCTGTTAAAGGGCAAATGTTTTTAAGCACTTGTCATTTGTATCATGCCAGGTTGTCTGGGTTGATACATCTTTATGCCATATTAAAGTAAAGCTTTTATATGCAAGTTAGAGAAATACTGGCAAGCAAGGATTTTACCCATGGTCCTTATGCTGAGTTCAAGAATGAGGTAGAAACAAACACTGTGTGTTTCTGATGCTTTCAGGTGAGTGGCAGTGTGATGAGTGTTTATAGTGGAGACTTTGGCAATCTGGAAGTTAAAGGGAATATTCAGTTTGCAATCGACTATGTGGACTCATTGAAGGAGTTGCATGTTTTTGTGGCCCAGTGTAAGGATTTAGCAGCAGCGGATGTGAAAAAACAGCGTTCAGACCCGTGAGTACATTTTGGAATCACCTACTTTCTCCTAGCCCTCAAACTATTAATCTTGTAAGCATTGGAAGGGAAGAAAGTAACCAAAGGGAGGGTTTAAGACTGTTAAAAGGACTGTTTGAAAAAGAAAAGTTGAAGGTAACACTTTTTTATTTACTTTATAAATTCATATGCCAAGCTTATTAACATTTGAAAAGGACTTTTGAGGTCATCTTGTCCAGTTCCTTTATTTTACAGATAAGGAAGTAAGAGCCAGTGACTTATTTGCCCAAATTCAGATAATCAATGGAAGAATGAGGATTAAGAGCTGGAACCCATGCCTCTTTACACAACACTTTTTCTAAAATTAGGGACTTGTGGGGCGTAAGTAAGGAGCCATGGTGGCACAGTGGTTAAATGTTCAGCTGCCAACTGAAAGGTCAGCGGTTGGAACCCACCAGCCACTTGCAAGGAGAAAGATGTGGCAGTCTGTTTCTGTAAAGATTACAGCCTTGGAAACCCTGTGGGGAAGTCCTACTCCATCCTATAAGGGTCACTGTGAGTAGGAATCAACTCGATTGCAACAGGTTTGGTTTCTTTTGCGGGGAGCATAGTCATAATGTTTGTTGTTGTTAAGTGTCATCGAGGCGGACCTGACTCATAGCGACCCCTCCTTGGGTTTCCGTGGCAGTATCACTATGGAAGTAGATTGCCCCAGCTTCCTTCCCAGGAGTGGCTGGTGGGTTTGAACCCCCAGTCTTTTGGTTAGCAGTCAAGTGCCTTAGGCACTACAGTACCAGAGCTCCCAAGTCATAATGTTTGGTGCTGTAGAAATAGTTGTGATTCTAGAATGAGGCAGCTTCTATATTTAAATTACATCCTACAGAAGATTTTTAGGGAAAATTACTAGTTCATCTTTTAAATCATAGGCTTGATTACATTTCATTCTATTTGCAAAAGTTGAATCATGTCTCCCACTTATCTCTTTGCAGAAGTCTGAGAAAAAAATCCTTTTTCTTTTTTTATCATAAATATAACTGGGCTTGATGTCATTTATTTATTTATTTATTTTACATTGATATGACTTGATTAAGGAGCCCTGATAGAATAGTGGTTAAAGTGCTCAGCTGCTAACTGAAAGGTCAGCAGTTTGAACCCACCAGCCACTCAACAGAAGATGTGGCAGTCTGTGGCTATAAAGATTACAGCCTTGGAACCCTATGGGGCAGTTCTCCTCTGTCCTGTAGGGCTGCTATGAGTCAGCATCAACTCAGCAGTGGGTTTGGTTTGTTTCATGGCTTAATTAGATGTGTGCTAAGATTAACTTTTTTTTCAAAAGACCATAAAAAAACATAAAAAAATAAAATAAAATAAAATATGTAAGCACAAAGCCTTTTGGCTTAGGGAAAAAACTAATACCCACAACACATTAAGTACTGTTTTTAGTTGTTGGTAGCTGTCCACTCAATTCTGACTCACATTAGGTAAAAGGAAAAGTAGAATTTGGAAAATGTCCTTTAAAATTCCTCGAAGCAACACCAAATGATCAAGTCTTCTGAAATCCCTTTAATCATTTAAGTATAAGGTATAAGTATTTATTACTTACTGCTTTTCTCAGTGTAAGTAACTCTGGTGGCACAATGGTTAAATGCTGGGTTATTAACCAACAGCTCAGCAATTTGAAACCACCAGCTATTTCGTGGGAGAAAGATGTGGCAGTCTTCTTCCATAAAGATTTACAAAGCCTTGGAAATCCTAGGGGGCAGTTCTAGTCTGTCACTATCAGTTGGAATTGACTCAACAGCATTAGGTTTGGTTTTGGTTTGGTTTTTCTCAGTGTCCTGAAGTAATTATTTTTGTTGTTAGTTTTTGATGCATTTTTTTAAGTAGAAGTAGAAACATTACTTTTATCTCCTGACCATCTTAGGTGTTAAATTCTCTTTTTAGATATGTAAAGACCTATCTGTTGCCAGACAAAGGCAAAATGGGCAAGAAGAAAACATTTGTAGTGAAGAAAACCTTGAATCCTGTATACAACGAGATATTGAGGGTACGTGAACTCTCTAGATAGGAAATTCATAAACAATGACAGGTATTTAAATATCCATGTCTTCTTGAGTAGTGTCTTTACAGATAAAGTCAGTCACCAAGAGAGAAGGGAAATAATAAAAATTTTCTGGGAGTCTTGCTTTTTATGAAGCTATCTATTATGCATTATCTCATTTCCTCTCCATAAATACTTTGCCAGGCAGGTATTATTATCTGCATCTCACAGATGAGGCAAACGAATCTTAGGGAAATAAAGTAAATTGCTCAAGGGCACACACCTGGTACAGTTGAAAACAGCAACCAGAATGATCTTCTAAAAGCAGAATTCATCTCATTTCATCACTTAAAACCTTTTAGGATTTCCATTACTCTTAGGATCAAGTCTGTGCTTCTTAACATGCATACCAGTCCCTCTGCAACCTGAGTTTCAGCCTCATCTCTCCCTTTCATATTCTCTATTCAAGCCACATTGAATCCCTTTCAATTCTTTGGAGCAGCTATATTTTCTCACACTACTAGGGCCTTCTGTTCATTTTGGTTAGTAGTTCTCTCCCCACATTCTTTCCCTAACTACCTCCTGTTGTTGTTAGGTACCATAGAGTCAGTACCAACTCTTAGTGACCTTCTGTACAAGAGAACGAAACACTGCCTGATCCTGTGCCATCCTCACAATTGTTGCCATGTCTTGAGCCCATCATTGCAGCCACTGTGTCAGTCCATCTTGTTGAGGGCCTTCCCCTTTTTCACTGACCTTCTACTTTACCAAGCATGATATCCTTCTCAAGGAACAGGTCCCTTCTGACAACATGACCAAAGAAGGTGAGATGAAGTCTGGCCATTCTTGCTTCTAAGGAGCATTCTGGCTGTACTTCCTCCAAGACAAATTTGTTCATTGTTATAGCAGTCCATGGTACATTCAATAGTGTTCTGTGGTCCTTCCTTATTCATTGTCCAGCTCTCACATGCATATGAGGCTATTGAAAATATGAGGTGCACCTTAGTCCTGAAAGTGACATCTTTGCTCTTTAAAGAGGTCTTTTCAGTAAATTTCCCCAATGCAGTATGTCATTTGATTTTTTAACTGTTGTTTCCATGGGTGTTGATTTTGGGTCTAGGTAAAATGAAATCTTTGACAACTTCAGTCTTTTCTGTATTTATAATGTTGCTTATTGGGCCAGTTGTAAGGATTTTGTCTTCTTTGATGCTAAAGTGTAATTCATACTGAAGCTGTAGTCTTTGATCTACTTATCTACTTCAGCAAGTGCTTCAAATTCTCTTCACTTTCAACAAGCAAGGTTGTGTCATCTGCATATTGCAGGTTATTAATGAGTCGTCCTCCAATCCTGATGCCTTGTTCTTCTTCATATAACCCAACTTCTCAGATTATTTGCTCAGCACACAAATAAGTATGGTGAAAGGCCACAACCCTGATGCACACCTTTCCTGACTTTAAACTATGCAATGTCCCCTTATTCTGTTGGAACAACTGCTGCTTGGTCTATGTACATGTTTCTCCTGAGAACAATTAAGTGTTTGGAATTCCCATTATTCACAGTGTTGTCCATAATTTTCTTTTGTGATTCACACAGTTGAATGCTTTTGCATAGTCAGTAAAACATAAGTAAGCATTTTTGTGGTATTCATTGCTTTCAGCCAAGATCCACCCGACATCAGCAATGATATCCCTCTCTCCACATTCTTTTCTGAACCTGGCTTGAGTTTCTAGCAGTTTCCTTTCAATATACTGCTGCATTCATTTTTTAATTATCTTCAGCAAAATTTTACTTGCATTTGATATTAATGATATTGTTTGATAATTTCTGCTTTCTGTTGTATCACCTTTCTTTGGAATGGGCACAAATATGGATCTCTTCCAGTTGGCTGGCCAGGTAGCTGTCTTCTAAATTTCTTGGCATAAAACAAGTAAGTGCCTTCAACACTGCATCTGTTTGTGAAACTTCTCAATGGGTATTCCATTAATTCCTGGAGTCTTGTTTTTTGCCAATGCCTTCAATGCAGCTTGGACTTCTTCCTTCAGTACCATCAGTTCTTGATCAAAGCTACCTCTTGAAATGGTTGAATGTCCACCATTCTTTTTGGCTCAGTGACTCCATGTATTCCTTCCATCTTCTTTTGATGCTTCTTCCAGCATAGTTCAATATTTTGCCCCTAGAATCCTTCAGTATTGCAAGCTGAGGCTTGAATTTTTTCTTCAGTTCTTTCAGCTTGAGAAATGCGAGTGTGTTATTCCCTTTTGATTTTCTAACTCCAGGTCTTTGTACATTTCATTATGGTACTTTAATTTGTCTTCTCTGGCTGCCCTCTGAAATCTTCTGTTCAGCTCTTTTACTTCATCATTTCTTCCATTCACTTTAGCTACTCTCTATTCAAGAGCAAGTTTCAGAGTGTTTTCTAACAGCCATTTTGATATTTCCTTCCTTCCCTGTCTTTTTAATGAACTTGTGCTTTCTTTATGTATGATGTCCTTGATGTCACCCCACACAGCTTGTCTGGTCTATCAGTCATTGGTGTTCGGTGCATCAAATCTGTTCTTCAGATGGTCTCTAAATTCAGGTAGGATATACTCAAGGTCATGTTTTGGCTCTTGTGGACTGGTTTTAATTTTCTTCAGCTTCAACTTAAACTTGCATATGAGCAATTGATGGTCTCTTCCACGGTCAGCCTCTGATCTTGTTCTGACTGATATTAAGCCTCCTCATCCCTTTCCACAGATATAGTCAATTTGATTCCTGTGTATTCCATCTGCTGAGGTCCATGTGTATCATTTCCATTTTTATTGTTGAAGAGAGGTATTTACAATGCATAAATCTTGGATCTTGCAAAATTCTATCATGCGATATCTGGCATCATTTCTTTTGCCAAGGCAACATTTTCCATCTACCAATGCTGCTTGCTTGTTTGCAACTTTCATATTCCAATCAACAGTAATTATCGATACATTTTGAGTATGTGTTTGGTCAATTTCAGACTGCAGATGTTTGTAAAAATCTTCAATTTCTTCATCTGTCTCTAGGTGACCCTGCTGGTATATGAAATACCACCACAGTATGACAGACTGGCAGATGAGCAGTAGAACTACCACCTTCAAAGCCTTAAATCCCTCTTCCTATGAGAGTTTGTCCATAATCCCTAATTTCCCTTGCTACCTTCTGCTTCAATAACATGTTGCATACTAAGCTATATTAACACTCAGTACTTTAAGTACTGGTTTAATTGTCAGCCTTCCTGCTAAACTGTAAATTCCCTGAAGGAAGATAACAACTTTAAGTTCCTTACAAACTGTGTACCCTTGGGAAAATTGCTTATTTACAACTCAGATCTGATCAAATGATTTAAAAAGTTAATAAAGTGATTAGTATACATTAAAGATTTAGTAAGTGTTGGCTATTAGCTATTACTTTTGTAGCCCTAACTCTTGGTACAGTGTCTGGCATATCATAGGTACTCAAAAAAATGTTTATTGGAGGGTTGGATGGATGGACAAGTAAGTGAAAAGTATACTTAGTTCAAACACACATATTCTTTTTCTCTCCCAAATTGTATCAGGATACTTTAGTTATGAGTAACAGATCATTTCAAACAAATAGCATTAAAATATACTGTTCATTCTCTCTTTCTAAAAATTCTGTTAAAGTATTTGATATCCCCTGGGAAAAGAAAAAGCTATTAAATAAACTCTTTGTCATCCATGGATTAATTAACTACTTTGTAGATTTTCTTTAGTAAATTTTTAATCGTAATCTGACTATTATGTACCCCAGCACCCTACTATTTCTAGGTCAGCTACTTCAACCCTATACTCAGGACATGCCAGCTAATTTAAATAGTAAACTCAGAGAAAGGCAAGTCGGCTACAACCAAAAGGGATATTCACACAGTACATTCTAAAGCCAAATGGAGATTATTTTTAGAAGTACTGTTATCCCTTCAATGATTATATATAATCAAGGACTTACTACATTTAGATGAAAAATGGTTATGATGCCAAATCTTTTCCACTTGACCATATGAAACAGGAAAAACAAGTATGTGATTTTTGAAAAAAATATTTTATCCTTACGTAGAAAACAGAACATTGGATTTAACTTAATTTGTATTTTTAGTCTGAGTTTAATTATTGTTTTACCAATTAGAACAAAAAACTCAGTAAAAGTTGAATAATTGGCTTTGCTTTTAGAGAGCTATTACCAGCTATGATATTTGAGCTATGGTTTGCTTTTCCAGAGAGGAAAAGCAAATTAGCTTTTGTGGAAGATGGATTTCAGTTCTTTGAAGCAATACACTTTTAGAATAAGATGACTTCGCAATAATTTTCAGACTTGAAACCTAGCAGATGAGAAAATCTGATCTACACAGATGATTATTCTCTTCATCTCTATGTCATAACTTTGGCATGAAGTAATACTATTCATCATTTTAATTTCCTTCTTTGAACTGCAGTACAAAATTGAAAAGCAAAGCTTAAAGACACAGAAGCTTAATGTATCTGTTTGGCATCGGGATACATTTAAACGCAATAGTTTCCTAGGTGAAGTAGAACTTGATTTGGAAACATGGGACTGGAACAACAAACAGAATAAACAGTTGAAGTGGTACCCTCTGAAACGGAAGGTAAGTTCAGAGTGATCTGTTTGGTTGATTGGTTGGTTTGGGACCTTGTATGTAAAAACTAGTATAAAATTGCATTTCATCTCGGAGTACTAATTCACAGATTGGGATCATTTTAAACTAGAGTGAAGAGATGCTAAAAGAGATTACAGGGAGAATGTTTAAATCATTTAACATGAATGTTTCAGAGACATTAGAAAGATAGTTGAAATAATTAAATTCTTTGAAAAGTGGGACTTAATTCTAGCCCGGGGAGCTCTGATGGCGTAGTGCCTAAGGCATTTGACTGCTAACCAGAAGGCTGGCAGTTCAAACCCACCAGCCACTCCTCAGAAGGAAGGTTGAGCAATCTACTTCCATTGAGATACTGTCTCAGAAACCAATGAGTGGTTGCTGTGAGTCGGATCTGACTCAATGGCAGTGAGCTTGATTTGTTTGGTTTTTGTTTTTTTTTTAAATTTTAGCCCAGTAAATCATCAAATTTTGATAAATATTACATGTGTCATTTGAAAAGAAAATATATTCTGTGATTGTTGCATACAATGTTCTGTATCTATCAGTTAAGTCAAGTTGGTTAGTAATGTTGCTTAAGTATTCTATATCTTAACTTCTTTTATGCCTGTGTATGCTTACTAAGAGAATATGATTGTGGATTTGTATTTTTCTCCTTTTAGTTTTGTTATTTTTGCTTTATATTTTACTTTGAGGTTGCCTAATTAAGTGTATGGGGAGCTTTGGTAGTGCAGTGCTTAAGGCATTTGACTGCTAACCAGAAGGTTGGCAGTTCAAACCCACCAGTCCCTCCATGGAAGGAAGATGGGGCAATCTACTTCTGTAAAAATTCACTGCCTCAGAAACCCAATGGGGTCTCTATGAGTCAGAATTGACTTGATGGCAGTGAGTTTGGTTTGTTTGTTTGTTTTTTTAAATTAAATATATAGAAATTTAGAATTGTCCTATTTTCCTGATGGATTTGCCATTTTGAAATCTCTCTGTTTATCCCCAGTAATGCTTCTTGCATTAAAGTCTACTTTGTCTGTATTAGTATAGCTCTGTCAGCTTTCTTTTGGTTAGAATTTTGTATCTATTTGATATGCAATCTTTTAAAAAGTTAAGATATGTTTCATGTAGGGAACAGTTTTGATTTTTTTCCAGTCTAAAAATCTTTGTCTTTTAAAGGGTAATTTATTCCATTTGTATTTAATGTAATTATTGACATTTATATTCAAATCATCTTAATATTTGTCCAATTTACCTTATTATTTTCATAATTATTTCCTTTGAAATTAATCAAATATTTTATTATTTCATTTTTTCTTTTATTAATATGTCAATTATAGTTTCTTTTCTTTTTTCTTTATTGATTTCCTTAGAGATTAAAAATGTATCTTTGATTTGTAAGTGTAATATAAATTAGGATTTTTACCACTTCTAGGACAATGAAAAGAAACCAGAATATTTTAACTTCATTTATCCCTTCTCCCCATTTCTGTGCTATTGTTTATAATGTATTTTAATTACACATGTATTTTAAGTCTCACAAGACATCATTATTATTGTTTTATACAATCAACATTCATTTAGATTCAATTAGCACTTTCTATTGCTCATTCTTTCCTATAAATATGGAGTTATTTTTTCTGCTTGAAGACTTCCTAGTTTTATTTTTAGTGCATATCTGCTGGTAAAAAATTATCTCAGGTTTTTTTGGTATCATGACATCTTTTTTTACCTGCTTTTCTTTTCTTTTTTTTTTTTAGAACTTTTGCTGCATTGCTAGGTTGGCAATTATTTCTTTCAATATTTGAATATGTTCTATTATATTCTGACTTTTATCATTTCTGTTGTTAAGTCAGCTTTTAATCTTATTTTTGCTCCTTTGAAGGTTATATGTCTTTTTCTCAGATTTTAGGATTTGTCTCTTGTCTTTGATTTTCAGCAGTTTTCATTCTAATGAGCCTAGGTGTAGTTTTCTCAGTATTTATCCTGTTTGGAGTTCACTGAGCTTCTTGATTCTATGTCTTGGTTTCTTTCATAGACTTCAAGTATTCATTGGTAATTATTTTTTCAAATATTGCTTTTGCCACCACTGTTCTTCTCTTCTTTTCTCCTTCTAGAACATGCAATTACATGTGCAGTCTACTTTTTCACCCCATCTCATATGTATCTTATACTCTATTCTGTATTTTCTTTATTTTCCTTCAGGCCAGGTTTTTTGTTTTTTTATTTTTTTGACTAACCTAGCTTCTCCCTCCCCCAACAATTCTGTTAACAGGTGTGTCTAATCTACTATTAAACCCTTATACAGGTTCTCAATTGTATTTTTTTTTTTTTATTGTGATTTGGGTGAAAATTTACAGAGCAAATTCACTTTCCATACAGTAGTTCACCTACACTTTGTCTCATGACATTGACCACAATTCACCACAATATATCAGCTCGCCTCCCACTTCCTCCCGACAGTCACTTCTTCCCTGTGTCCATCCCTCCATGCACTCCTGCCCCCTGAGCTGTCTCCCTGTGCATAAACAGCCCTTCTTTCTCCCATGCTTGTTCTCTCCAAGGAGTGTATTTACCTCAGGTAAATGTTCAACTCCTATGCCTGTCTTTTGCTTGGCTGGAAGCCATAGGTGTGGTTCAATTCTGGACCTTAAGGGCAGCTAGGGGCCATAGTCTCAGTAGTTCCACTAGGCTCTATCAGACCAGCAAACCTGGTCCCCCTTTTTTTATTTCCCAAATACTTTAGAGTTTTGTTCCACCTTTTTCTACCTCTCTATCCAGGGTCTCCTACATAGATCCCCCTCCAAGTGGTTGACATTGGTAGCCAGGTACCCTCTAGTTCTGGTCTCATAGTTCAATTGTATTTTTTAAGACTTCAATTTTCATGTGAATCTTCTTTATAGATTCCATTTCTCTGCTAAAATTTTCCATCTTAACATTATCTCAGTGAATATATTGAAGTTATTTAAAATATGTATCTAAAAACTCTAATAGCAAACATTTGTGAATGTCTCTTAACTATTTTTTTATCTTAATTTGGTCATTTGACCTTGCATATTGGTATGCCTGGTCATTATATATTGTACATATAATATATTGGACATTGCATATAAAAAGTTCTAGGAATAATCTGAGTAAGTTTACTTTTGTTTCTGACAAAGTAGGACAGACTAATCTACACTGGGAATGAGCCGACTTGATGCTGCGGACGTCTTCATGTTGTCTAATTCTTATTTTTCCATATTCTGAGGCTATGACCTTTCAGGAGTTCAAACTGAAAAGCCTAGGGAAGTAACTCTCAAATTTTAGCAGGCATCCAGCTCACCCAAAGGACTTGTTAAAACAAAGATTGCTAGGCCTTATCCCCAAAGTTTCTGATTCAGTAAGGTCTGGGCTCAAGAATTTGCATTTCTAACAAGTTGCCAGGTAATGTTGATGCTGCTGGCCTGGAGACCATACTTTGAAAACCACTAGGGTACTTTCCAAGGCTACTCCTACTTAGCAGACCCTAGACTCCAATTTTTATTTCCCAACCCCATGAAACTGCCAAAAGCTCTGTTGAGCTCCTCAACTTCTTTCTACTAGGCTTTTTATACTCTCAGTTTGGCACTACTTACAAATCAGCTAATGCCTTGAAATGAAAAGTAGAAAAGAATGTCAGGCTCTAAGATCTTATCCATCTGAGTTACGTCTGTCTTGGTAATTCTTTAACACTCTCAAACAGATTTTTTTTTTAAGCCAGCTTTTCTTATTCTTAGTGTGAAGTAAAAGTTGGTGTGATCCAAGCTAGTCCATTATAGCTAAAAGTGATAAATAGAAAAAGTACATACAAACCATTATTTAGCATCTGCACAGTAAAATAATTCTACTAAATAAATCATTCCAAAATGTTTCATCACAATCACTTGAGGCCCTTATTTCCAGCCCTACTTGGTGAATATGAATTCCTCTGAAGGTACCAGACTATCTCCCCTTATGTTTTTGAGACCTAGCCATAGTTCTAAAGGACTAAAATTTGAAAGTAAAACCATCTTTCTGATATTTGAACATAACACATACACATTATTTTTCTACCTTAGTTCTTATTTCATGGATAAACACTGTAAAACTGTTGATCAATCTTTGTTATTCTTGTGGACTTCTACTTAGTTTGTCTAAACTAGCTCTGGTAGCATAGTGGCTAAAAGCACTTGACTGCTAACCAGAAGGCTGGTGGTTCAA